CTACCAGATTATGTTCACATATTTTCAGCAGGTGTATTTAGGCCTTCATATTTATATAATATATTGTATTAATATGTATTCAGCTGTATTTTGAATACGTCTTACGTATATAACTTATTTTATTCATCTGTATTCATCTATATGCATATGTATTCAAGTCTATTTAGACCGTTGTACAATACATATTTAGACATCTATACGTGTATAACATATTGTATTAATATGTATTAAGGTGTATTTTAATACATGTATTAAATATTCAGAAATCATATTCAGTCTCTGATATACGATATGGATTCAAAAAAATCATCAGTTCTGTTTATTGAAATATTACATCTTTTTATGATACAATCATATCCTATGTATATAACTGAGTATAATCATATGTATTCAATGATTGTATTCATCTATATTCAGATATCATGAAGTAATATAATAGTCATATTTTAATTACGTATTCAGATTTAATACACCAACTAAGTATATCCAAAATATATTCGAAATGACAGCGGAATCTATGACAAACCGTTATGGCATTAATACAAGTCAGAATGTGAACTAATTTCTATGTGGAACATTTCTACAAGTACGCTTATTATGTCCTTCCTGCCCACATATGCTACACGAATGTTGATTTTTCTTCTGCAGCAATTCAATGAACGACTTATCACGCTTCTTCTTTGGTCTTCCAGGAGGTCTTTTCCATTTGGGTGATAATACAACTCCATCTGCTATATGTGCTGGTATATTCCGTTCTTTCCGGTCCGGCAAAGGATACACGGGCACCTCATATGTCATTACAACAGACTTTGGTTTGTAATATTCAGAGCAATAATCTTCTGGCATTAGAAACTTGCTCTTCAGGACAGCCCAAGCGTGTGAGCACGGTAATTCGTCGACTTGGAACCGCCCACAACTGCATTTTCTCTCTAAGAGGCATACGGTGTAATGCCTTCCTTCATCGTTCACCGTATGCAAATATTCAGTCAATGGCACCACCTACATTTAAACATAGACCTATTATCTTGGATTATATAAAAAAACAAATCATACATATATCAAAGAATAGACGTATTAAATATAATTTTAATATAGAGTATTAGACTTTTATTTAGCTTTAAGAACCACAATATATATTAAAATACAACTGTATTAGATACAAACATATTTGTACATACAGAATTCAAAGACATACACCTATATACAGTTAAATACATTAGAATACATACTATATGTATGCAGACAAAATATTAAAGAGTAGTCTTGAATGAATATAGGATACAACATCCATGGCTACCTTGAAATATATGCAGTTAAATACCTTGTACCATGGCTAAATATTAGATACAGATACGTAAATAAAAGGCAACTTACAGTCATTCGTGTAGACATTGCCTCATTCAAGGTAAGCATCTCCTGGTATTTTTTCCCAAGCGTTGTGTATGTCTGTAGAGCTTCTTTCCGATTGCTGCAATTCCAACGTCCAAACATTTTCCTAACTTCTTCGAGGAGGTCGTATATTGGCAATTCCCTTGCTGACACAAGTGCGGCATTGATTAACTCAACAATATTTGACGTCATTGTCCATCCCCTGTTAACAGGTGCATACAACCTAGCCCACTTTTCGTATCCAGCTAACTCCAAGTATTCCTTCACCTTAATATCTACCTTCTCCACCTTCTCCATTAGACTGTCAAACTCAGCCTGTGTGTATGCTTTTGCCATCGAGAAGTATATCTCGCTCAACTTTGAATGACTCTTTTTGAATTTCTTATATACGTTGTTCCAAAGATGCCATATACAAGAAAAATGTGGTACAGTTGGATACACTCTTGATACAGACTTGATGATACTTTCGTTCCTATCTGAAACGATACACATGCTTTCCCTCTCACCATATGCTTCCTTGAATTGCTCAAAGAACCACGTCCAAGAAGCATCGTTCTCTGAATCAATAACACCATATGCTAGTGGAAGTATATGACCTGTAAAGAAAATTGCATACATATTATAAATATGTATTTCAATATTTAATATGCAGTAATATTATAATATTTTATTATAATCAGCATACTCACCTGCACCATCCAAAGTGCTGGCCGAGACGAAAGTCCCAGTGTAATACGATTTTAAGTGGCTTCCATCCACAACCACAATGGGTCTACATTGATCGAACCCTTTTATAAAGGCATACAAAGATATATACACATACTTGAACTCATTTTGTGGGGATTTTACCATTCTAATGTGCGAACCAAGATATGTCATATCCATTGTATACAAGTATCCTGGTAATTTATTGTATGAATCAGCCGGTTCACCCCTCAA